TCACTCCCAGGTATTTTTTGTGCAGGAGCTGATCTCAAAGAGAGAGCCAAAATGGCAGCGCATGAGGTTGGACCATTTGTATCCATGGCTCGGGCAGCAATAATGGAACTACACAACCTACCGATGGCTACGATTGCTGCTTTAGATGGCCATGCCCTCGGTGGTGACCTTGAAATGGCCCTGTCATGTGACTTTAGGATTGCTGCAAGTAACGCTAAAGTAGGGCTAACAGAAACTCGTTTGGCTATTATTCCTAGGGCAGGTAGAGTTTTCATAAGATTTTGCTACTTTTCCATGGCAGCTAGGAATTTCATTGTCACTGGATGGAATGGAGGGCCATCACAAAGAACCTAACTCCTCTTCCCTTAGGCTATCACAGGCTGCCTCACCCATCCCCCCTCCTTAGCATTTGGTATGCCACTCTTCACAACAATAGGCAATGACAATTCAGAAGAGGTCCTGTCCTACAATTCAATTGATGTTATAGTTGTGAGAATTTGGTGTTGCATCAACTTACTGGTAATTAATCCACCAATGAATATTTTTATTTATTCTCATCACTTTTCTGTTTGATTTTTTTATTGATGGAGAGATAAGGAGAAATTCTCTCTTGGTCACTCGTGGGAGTTAATTAGGTTGACGCTTTGACTCCCAATATCGAATTAGCAATTCTCTCCTTTAATCACGCTACATTTCCTCAGAAGTCAGGGGGGAGAGTTTGGTGTTAGATCATGATCACACCCTCTGGCTGATAAGCCTGTCTTTTCTCATAACCTAGTGCAAGATGATAGCATATTGAACTCATCGGAAGAAGTTACACGATAATCACATCTGGGAGTAATAGGGTTTAAATCCCTTTTTACCAAAGCATATAGAGTGCATCATTCATTAAGTCTTGTGTGCAAGTCAGCTATTGGTATTTCAGCCTTGACATCTGAGATGAAAGATATCACAGAGCTCTTCCTGGGTTGTCATTAGAAGGTGTAATAAATGTATGATCTGAACTGAGTGAGCAGCCTGTATGATTGTGTTGCAAGCATGATGGTTGCAAAGCAACTGGTTCCTCAAGGAGAGGGGGTTCTGTGGGCATGCTCCCCCTGAAAATTTGAAATTTAAAACTCTCTAAGACAATATTTTCAGCATTCTGGAACGTAATGAGTATAAATTTTTTTTTATGTCAGACATGAATAATTATTGATGTTAGAATTAGTTCAAAACACTTATTATCATCTTTGATCGATCTCACTTCACAAAGTTGGTGCAAAATGGTCTGACAGCCTGTCAGTTTCTGTTTTTTTCTTAGGAGGTACTCAACGGCTACCAAGGCTAGTTAGGTATCTCAAAAGCCAAGGAAATGATTTTTACAGGCAAAATGATCAATGCTACAGATGCCGAAGAAATAGGTTTGGCTGATTATGTTGCTGAACAAACTGAAACTGGTGATGCAGCATATCAAAGAGCACTTGTTTTAGCTGAAGAAATTCTTCCCCGAGGACCTGTTGCTGTGAGGATGGCCAAACTAGCAATTAACAAGGGAATCCAGGTAAGTCGTRTCTTTTTTAACCTTTTGATCTGCAAGAGTGACAAGTGACTAATTTCTCCTTTAAATATCACCCCTGAATCACACATTAACCTCTTCACTGCTTGCTGGACCTACTCAATGACATTCTCAACACGTCGACAGTTAGAGAGTAACCATCAAATCTTTGGCACTGGAGAGGTAAATTGAACTGGCCTCTGAAACTGGAAACAAACTAGAATTCTGGAAAAATGTTCTGTCAGTTTGTGTTGGCACAGGATTTCTCATTGGGTTGGCAGTTAGGGTTGGCAGTTAACGTTATAACAACGGGTTAAGGTCCTGGTTGTGAGAATGAAGGAAATGATCACGAACTAAATAAGTTCTTGATTGTTAACCAAATTCTCCTTGTCAGCACCTTAGGGAATGTATAGCGGACAGTATGGAGAATATGTGGACTGACCATGTCAGGGTTAAAAGGGTCACAACTGATGATCAACAAGTAGTTGTATGGTTTCCCTTATTTGATTCTCTTCTTTCATTTTTTTTTAATTCTCAAATCTCATGATCACATCTGAGGTTTCTAAATACATACTAGACAAGTCTGACAAGTAAAAAAACCAAGGAAAAATAAAATTTATTCAAAGTAACCAGCATTTTTTGTATCATCATGACACCTTTTGTAAGGTAATTAAGTTGAACCCCTTAATCATTCAGTTAAAACTGACTAGAAGCTATTTTCTCGTTACAATATTAGTACTGAATCAAACACCAAGGTCATAAGAATAAAAGAATTGATCACAAACTAGAGGAGCTCTTGACTGTTAAGCAAATCCTCCTTGACGGTAGTATAAGAAATGTGTAGAAAACAGTATGGAAAATATGCATGCTGATGTTAAACCATGGAATGCATTCAATACAGCAAGGTTTTGTTATAATGAAATGGTTTTGCTCCCAGAATACGTGATTTGTGTCTTCTTTCTTTCTGCAGGTTGACCTCAAGTCAGCCATGTCATTTGAAGAAGGTTGTTATGCTCAGGTATGGGTGCAAATATTTTTTTACTGCAGTAATGTCGCAATCTAATTGGCTAATTTGCCATTGTTGATAAGAGAGTACACACAATGCTACTCATGTCAATGTGTCATATTCCAACATGCCATGCACTG